CTCGAGCCTGCGGTCCATGATTGAACCTACATATCTATTTTGGCCGCTGCTGGCTCGCGTTCTGTCAATACTCGGCGTATCGAGGGTAGTAACAGTGAGCTGCTGGGTACCTTCCTCCCTTTCTCTTTCCTGTCGTCGTAAGGGTGGGGCTCGTCAGAGCTAAGCGGGTCGAGACTGTGAAGGGCTTCGAGGGGGCGTCGGTTCTCATCAGAACAGACACGAGTCGTCGAGGCTTGGTCGCATTCGATAAATTGGAGGACTTCTAGTTTCTCAAATGCGACATCTAATGGAGGTAGCTCTACTGAGCGCGAGGAGCAGTTGGGAGCTGATGGGTCTGCCATGGAGCTCATAGAGGACGCAGTACGAGACCGACTCGCAGAGAATAACCCCTACCCTTGCGATTCAACCGGTCGCTCACGTGGGCAGCTCCCTACCAATGCCCCTACGAGGTCCGTAATACGGTTGAATCGGCAGAGCTAATCCCGGAGATATATCCATGCATTGAAACCCCCCCCATTGGCTACAACAGGAAGGCAGGCGTATGTGAATTATGTGTTACTAAGTCGATGTTCCTCAACCTGGTTGGTTCACTGTCATCATCTGAGCAAGTGTGTCTCGTGTTGTCAATTCCATTGGAGCCAGGCTCGTCTAGACTAGATTTATGATATGGCCGACTTGTTCCTAAAGAAGTTGCTGCAAGCACAGGACTTTGCTGCCCAGGTGAATATAACACTTACTTCTTGGACCCGCCGTCCAAACGGTAACACCATCGTACAGGTTATAGGAGAACACTCGCCAATACCATTAGAGGTAGCAACGGTCCTCACCAGAGACCCCGCCATCCCGCGGACCACCAAAGAGCTTGATCGCGGTACGGGGCATGGGCCTGGACATACCTCGACTGTGAGCTCAGTTATCACATATCTGCGTCGAACCGTTTCGCAAACTCGAAGGCCACTCAGCTCTTCAGCTAGGGCCATATCCGCTCTGGACCAGAGCCGCATGCTCGAATTCGCTGCATGTCTGCGGCTATTATGGTACTACTTCTAGCAAAGAGTCAACCAACGCCATCGTCCAGTTTCCCGGCCGGCACAGTCGCAGTGGACGTGTATGATCCCCGGCCGTTCATGTGGGTCGTGTTGGGGGAACTGCATAAACAAGTGAGATATAAGGCGCGACGGACTAAGAAGACACCTATACGGAAAAAGTTACCGTCACTGACCAAGGTAAGCTCAGAGACGATTTCCTCATTAGTAGGATGGACATCATGTAGGTGTTGACCACCTACCAGATCGGTGACAGTTGCTTCTCCCTTGCCCATATAGTGAGGAAACCTCCAGAGATCATAACAGATACAAGACGGGCGAGCCTCCGGACCGTCCCTGCGGACATGCCTGCTGGTGGGTTTAGTCGGCCCAAGATCGCGTGCTATTGCTGGCGGTCCCAGATCATACATTGGTCCATCAGCTGGTGTGTAGCCGCAGCCATCCCTATACCTTCTGTCTGTGCTTATCTACAGAGGATTACATTCGCATCCTCCACGATGAGGAGGCCAGGGTACCCCCAGGTCCGACGGAGAGCCCATCGACTGACCTCCCTTTCGCAGATACTGCAGGAGACTGCCATCGCCATGCTCTATGACCGACACATGCTGTCTGCGAGTCACTATAAAGATGATCCCAGGGTCGAGTACTGGGCTCAGATTTTGAGTTTAGGGACCTTCCGAGAGGTGGGGTATTGGGTTGGTGACGACCCACTGTGTCACCGATATCGTTCAGGTCCCCAGAGGCCAGATGATTGTCAAACGAGGCCGTCGCGTTGACAAGGTCTACGTCGTCGTGAGTGGTTCTTGTGAGGTCCTGATGACCGAAATACCACTTCCGGAAGTAGATGACTGCACTGATGATGGTGACGCGGCCCATCCTGTCACCATAGCTGATTGCTCAATTTCAGCCAAGATCATTGAGACAGCGAGATCAGTCCAGATATGCAAAACTCCAAGAGCGCAGCCATTCGAGAATCGTCCGGCCTATACTGCGCGCTGTGCAAGGAAGCGTCGCCCGCGAAGGCGTGAGATTGTTGTTGGTAATCCTCATTTACGAAGGGACCCTCTACTCATTAGGTATGTTAATCTCAGGTACCCTACTTCCCGGCAATATGATTTGTCGGGAAGTCCTCACGAGAGTATTCGGCCATTCAGTGCCGAGCCCATGCCTCTGTCAAATCGAGCCAGATGCCATCGGAAATCATCTCGTGGTCAGTAGAGCTGTTTTCTGGAAGATCTCGAGTTCATCTCTGCAGGAGATCCTACGTTCATACGAGAGCGGCTATGTTCGTAGCAGTTATACAGTGCGGGCCACTGACGATGGGCCACATGCCCTCAGTGAAAGCACAATCCTACTTGAGTTGGACGTATCCCTATGGCGGAAAATTGCCATGGTAAAAAGCGCTGACGATTTCTACTCCCCGGACGTTTTCGCCACAGATTGAGTTCGGTCGTGTATCACGGGAATGCCGGGCCGACTTCGAGAAAGAGCTCACCATGGTCTACAGACAGCGGGAGAGGCGCCTCAGGAATATGGCTGTTTGCCGTAGGTCTATGCTAGGGTCCAGCTTGATCTTTTCCGCTAGGTCTCTCGATAGCACGTGATAGGAGAACCCACTTTCTGAAGCTCCGAAGAGAACAGCGCAGGGCGGAGCGGTGAGCTTGGTCCGCTCCAGCGTTAGTGCGTAAATTGCTCTCATTCAGTCGGCGATTAGCAGAGATGAATGGTGAACCATATGGTAACATAAAGATGTATTTATTCGACCACTGACGTCCTCCGCTCTCGTAGAGTCCTCAAGCTCCGAGTCTAGAAAGTCCGGACCCTACATTCCAAGGTTTAATGCGAACAGGCTCGTTTGCCTAGAATGTATAGGAGACTCTTATCACTGGTTAGCCTCCAATTTTCTTTCCTTCAGGGCATTGGAAAGGACGGCACCAAGAGCTTAGTCCGGCGATGCAGAAGACGCTAGAGTAGCATTCCACTGCCTACTAGTGTTGGTCGCTCACACTCCTATCAGACTCTTCCGGAAGATGCCATACAAACTGGCTATAAAGAGGCGATTCTCCAGACCTAAGGAAAATGCTGGGAGCAAAAAGGAGACCAGCGACTTCTCCGACGCGCTGGCTTCCCAAGAGCGAACACCTACTGAAGGAGACGAGCGTCGGCTTCCTGTGAAACCAGTTGTTAGTGTCCCGAGTTGCGACCCCCAGGTGTCATCGCGCGGTTCACAGGTCCCTAAGGTGAGATTGGCAGATCTGTCTGCTAAACCTAGCGGGCCACCAAAACTCCCGGCCATCACGGATGACTCGAAGACCAGCGTCGCTCAAAGTGCCCGAGAGCGGACGTTTATGACAGACGAGCCAGGTGTATATCCCGAAACGAACCGGTGAGATACCTTATTAACTGTCGAACGATCTACAATGGTTAGGGTAAGTCCTCGCCGGAGTGTTCGATATCCAAAGGCCAAGAAGAAGCAGGAGGTTCTTCTGAGTCACAGGGCGGCTCGAGAGCAGGTGACGATTCAGCAGCTCACTGCTCCAACTCATTCTGATTCGAGGCGGCCTCGTCTCTAAACTGTCGATCTTGGCATCTGGCTGTCTCAGGAGAGAAGTTTCACCAAGCTCATCACCAACCGGATGGTGCTAGTCTTGACGACAGATGAGAGGTTCCTCAAGACACTGAGAGATTCGATCCTCCATGTCGAGGGTGTTGCGGTTGGCCTTTGCCGATCACCAACGCGTGAGCAGAGAAAACGTCTTGCGAGGGTCCACACGTGTCTATCGTCTCAGACTTCCTACAAGAGATCAACCACAGCCGCAAAACATACGACTTGCTCATATTAGACGTAGAGACCACGGGATTCTCAAGGACCACAGTACTGCTAGAAGCATTCCGTGGCACTCACCGCTACAGAACTGTGAGGCAGAGATATTTCAACTACCCCAAATGAATAGAAATCCTAACAGGTTCCGATAATCGCGGTGGTTTACCCTCGTCTTGACCCCAAGGGGAGAGGGAGAAGTCCGAGACACTCAGCGCCGCCGATAGTCCCCAATACATGTGAGCAGGCATAAAATCAATCAGTGGTGTATTGAAGTTGAAGCAGGTTCGGTTATGCTGGCCAAGCCCGCTGACGTTCGGCTTGTACGAGAAGCCGTTTTATACTGTTTTAAGCCGCCAGTTAAACCACCATCTCAGTGAGAATGCTGGAACTCTGCAAGATTTGTCCCTTATTCGTGAAGATGGATCATGCCTTTTGGTGATTTTACTTCGGATTGTTCCGATGGGAGGAGTATTGCGTTGCGTTATCGCAAATTGGATACGAATGTTTTCCAAACCTTCCGCGCAACATTTTGTGTATGTTTGCTGGGACTTGTCCACCTTTGGTCACAATCTGTTCCGGCGTGTGTGCTCGGCGAGTATTGCCGGAGCTATGAGCTTGATTGTGCCCTGGAGCTAACTCAAAGTTTGAGACTCAAACCAACATTACATTCTTATCGAGTTAGTTCACTTTATCGAGCTCAATAATCCAGCCAACTCAATAGCTGGATTTTCGGTCTGTCTCGAGAGTTCAGATCGACGAGGTTGCGCGCGTGGACATCTTCTGAGCTATTGTGGAATTCAACTTTCTAATAATCTCACCCAAACTGCTGTACATAAAGTTACCTTAGAGATTAAACCGCGCATCGCCGGACTCGGTAGGTATGGACGGTGATGAAAGTCGATACGTTTTCAAAACGCTCACCTGTCTCTTAGAAACTTTGGGTGATCCAGTGAAGATAGGCAGTGGAAAATGGAGAGACCTTCTCGGAGTGGGTAAATTATTGAGAAGTTCTGGCGAAACCTTACATTGGCCTAGAAATGATTCAGTTTTTCGAGGAGAGTGTTCATCCCCAGTTTAAATGTACTAGTTGTGCTACGTATTGACGACATGAAACACAACTCATCAGGTAGCTTAGACAGAATAGGGCAGCAGCCAACCTGCTCTAAGTCGGACACATAACGTGGTGGCAACAGCTACCATCCGTTATGATGTCAGTAGCAGTAGCTACAAGTAAGGCATTGACATGATACTGTATGAGGAGCAGCGACCAACGCAGTGGATGGGCCGCTGTTGTGAGCAACAACAACATCAGGCACAATTCCATTTGTAACAGCAAAATGGTGGTCAAAGTCGACACAACATTATTTAGAGTCGTTAAGCACCAATAACTAGAGCCTTTTCTCTAAGTGGGTCTTTAATAACTTGATCACGATCGGCAGGGGGCAGGAGTTCACGAGGCTGCTGCTTTTGCTACTACTGCTACTACTACTACAACGATAATATTAATGATCAGCTCGATAGGCATTAGTATGAAGTATCAGATGCAATTGACAGGACAGATTCGAAAGGACTGAATAGTGATAGCAATTGTCACAAATTGGCGTTATAATTCCATTGAATCGCATAGAACACTGACTGAAGCACGTACTTGATGACAACAAAGCAGCGACAACAACATCAAGACAGACTGCGTTGAGCGGAAGAGTTAGAATGGCAGGGAGTTGCCGAATATGTAGAGCTCCGATACCATGCGCACCCTCCTCCCAACGTCTATGGTAGTTCGAACGACCAGTGCGATGTGCAAAAATATTCTTCTAAAACGACGCGGGAATTTTCAAGTATTCGCGATGATCATGATGATGATAATAATAATAATAATTGATAACGAACGATGATTTCTGGTATACTGGAACACTATGTTGTACGACGTGGAACGCTTCTAGTGACGATGATGATAATAATATCCAATTCCTGACCTGGAGTAAGCTCGGTCACGAAATACGTTTCAACATCGAGTAATCTAATACTGGACATCTTCTGGCTCTTTTCTTCATAACTTACGTAGGAGAATGTTACCACAGTACGCGAGAGTACTGATACTATATGAATGACAGCTAAAGAAGGCAGCACTGTGAGCAACCTCAGCCTGCAGTAACAAGTGCAGACTGTTGGTGCCGCTTGATGAGAGCTGCAGTAAAGAGATAACCGTTCTCGACGGCTGATGTCAATAATCAAGTAATATTACTAATACCAATAAGCGGGTATTGAAATACATCATGCAACATCTACAACAAGGCTAGCTGCTCTAGGAGTCGTGGTTGCCAGCCGCAGCACCTGCTGCATCCGCGGTCCTCGAATATCTGGTCGGATGATCATAAGAACTGGCGGTCTACAAATGCCCAAATGGCTGCCGGTGACCAGATGATGATGATGGACCACAAGCGAATGCAGTGCGGTAGTCGGATGAGGATTCTTGGTGACACCCTTGGTGATGAGCCTCGCCGGTACTCAGGCTAACAGCAAAGGCCAGTGATATAGTCACAAGGATGGAACGCGGTTACTCATCATGGTAAGCGTGCTCCAACTCAAGATGTACCCCAGAGGCGAGCCAGTTGACGGGGACCTAGGAATAGACGAGTTCACTGGTCTGCACTTAGAGTAGCTCTACCTTACTCTATTGTCACTGCTAGCTATTCGCAGATTCACAGCAGTCATAGCATTGACAGCTTCCTCAAGAGTGTTGAATGACACAATGGCCAGCCTAAGGGAGGCATTGCCGTCACGCGCCACGAGATCCGACTGATGTGCTACCTTCTGAAAGGTAAGATGTGTACCGAGCTGACTTGACCGAATTCCGAGAAGACTTCAGCTATTTCAGATTCATCCGTGGCGGACGGGAGCTGAACCATCACTCACTCAAATCACGACCCGGAATAAACTCACAAGCTTACCCTGAACACGAAGAGGGGAAACCCTTTCTCGTTCGGTCTCATCCTTCTATTGCCAGGGGACTCCTAAGATACACACACAGTGTACAGTCACCGTTTGTGGGCAGGAGGGGCACCTTGCGAGAGATGTAGTGCATCGCTGAGTAGCCCCTATCGAGTATCTCATAGGGGTCCTGCTGATTGTCGATCATGGGCCTCACAGAGAAGCTTCGGCCAGTATCTGTGAGCAGACTGTGAGTCTGATCAAATGAGGCATGATGTACGCTCAAAGTTGAAGTTGTCACATGTTACGCGGGCTCGTTCTGCATCTTGCTCTGAATCGAACGTGACCACGGCACATCCAGGCGGAAAGGATACTAGCTGAACCTGACTACAGCAATTGACCATTACTAAGCTGCCAGAACGGGCTCACATCTCGCATTGGGCAGAATACGTTGAACATGGTGACCACATTCTCCAGGGAAAAGCTAATGGGCAAGCCCGAGATGAATAGGGTCCGTGATGGACCTTCAGGAGCTTTCCCGTAGTGACGAAAGAGAGGCATATTACTGTCCTCGTTTCCCGACTGCGGTTCGCTGCCGATCCCCGTGAAGTGAGTGTCATCGCAACCTGAACAAAATCATCTTCACAGATATATATGCAAATGTCCGGTGTACCATCATCGAACGGGATTTGTCGAGACCGGTAGCCAGCGTTGTCCGACACCATTCGATCAACCTACCACGGTAAGTCGATCTATTACCAGTACTGCCTGCAAACCTCAGCACTGTCCCCTGTATGACTGGGGCAACCAGAATCCGACCGAGAGACGGCCACCGCCTCAGCAGCCCCGGCCATCGGTGACATGTTAGCCTGAGGACGAGGTGTCCGAGAATAAGAGACTTCTCGCTGAGATCGAGAGTGGTTGCACTGACCTTGCCAGCGCCTCTTGTTGAGGTATGATCAGTTCCTACTGAGGCTGCATGTTGCTTAGCAGTAGCGGCCGTGGCAGCCGCGGTAGCAGCTGCAATAATCGAGGACAGGTTCTGAGCATAGCCAATATCTACACTATGACATACCACACTTTCGAAACTTCCTAGAGGCGTTCCCTCTGTAGATAAAATACAAATAAGCCTGTATGTTTAACATTAGACATGAGAGCCGCGACCCACATACAGAGTGCAAGTCAGTTTCTCAGTTACTGAGTCTAGGTCAACTCCAAAAACAAGCATTTCTAAATACTTGTCAAAGTCGAGTCGATCTCCCTACCGCCTGGCTCATGTTGTCCGAGCTTCCCATTGCTGCTACAGTAGCCGCTGCAACAGCAGCACTGAGGGATGCCAACGAGCTTCCGTCTCGTCTAGAGGGCTGTGATGCCGAGGTCGAAGCGATAGGACCTGTGAATTCCAAATAGAATTTGACTTGATAATTCTCCCAGTTACTTGCGATGCCGCTTTCAGCACTGTCCGCTGTCCCTCCGATGGTATCCACAGAAGTTGATCGTCCCTCGTTCCCCCTTGGCGCAACACCATCTTGTCCAACATTCGAACAGAACTTCGACGAGGAATGGGAAGGCGGAACTGAGGTCATAGTCCCAGATTCTATCCAGATTCGAATCCGTAGCCTTACCCTGCGGTTTCGGCCAGTCGAGTCTGAGAACAATGGGCCGACCGCGGAGAATAGCCTGCTGACCGCTCCCGTACATCTCCATAAACGCTCGCTGCAATAAGAGATTGGCAAGCGAGATGATTGTCGTCGTCGAGCTATTACGGCTTGCTCAGGGGTGATGAACTCGACAAAGGCGGCTCCATCAGAGTTGCCGTTCTTTCTGACGACCTTGACGTCACATACTACCTCGCCCTGTACTGACCTATGCACGAGCAATAGGCGATAACATATACATATTGGTAGTACTGTATCATTGAGAGCAAGTCATGCTCATCAGCGTCCTTAGGCAAGCCACCAACGAACACCTGGAACCAGACTCCAGTCTTATACTACAGATCGACTTACCCGCTTCTTGGGAGGAACAGCGAGATCATCGCTCTTGCCATCAGGATGATAACTCCGGTCGTACTGTTGTTGTTGGTCGTCGCAAAAGACAGTCGTAGGAGAACTACGAGACGAGGAGGAGAACTGAACCTGTGCCACAGCGGTGTCCTTCACTAAGTTGGAATAAGGTGTTATAACCTGCAACGGTCGCTTCATCGAGCCTAGCCAGTAATGGTTGTGGAGTCCACGTATACAGGCCTCACACTCAGTAACACTGGAGTATCGGAGCCATGCACAACCTCTAGAGCGGCCTAACTTGTCACGTTGAACCTGGACAAGGAGATAGTAACCTGGGCATTATCATATGCCTTCTTTTAGGGAGCATATTTTTCCTCCATGGTATTTCAGAATTTGGCGTTTCACGTCAACTGAGTAGTGTTTCAGGCTGAAACTCTGACACGACTTAGTGATGGGCTATCAATGATACGCCCCTTATCGACACCTGCGTAAGATGTGATTATACATTCGTAAGTATATTCCATTATCGACTATAAGTGTTTCCATCTGATAAAACTACGATGCATAAACGCCTTGTGACAAGCGTCTTACTGATAGCTCGATGATAGTGCCAAATTTGGCAAACAACGGGTAGAGCTCTTGTTCAGTCATGAAGTAAGGCAATGCCCCCACGAACAACTGAGCAAACAGCCATCTACAGATGGACCACAGACCAACACCAACCTTGCAGTCGTCACTAGTAGTAGTAGCACTTGATGAGGAAGTAGCGCTACTAGTAAACGTAGTGGTAGCAGCAGCAGCACCAAATCCCACAGTCGGTGAGAGAGCCTAAGTGAATACAATATACACTATCTCATCACAATAGTACAACATACCGCTTCTAAGCTTATTGTATTAAGGCTTGGGTCGTCTGCTAGTCTTACTATCGCCCTACGCATTGGTGAGGTAGATGCTCCTATAGATGAGTGTTCTCGTTGAGAACCGCATTCCATAGCCTACCCTGGTCCTTAGTAACGTGGCCTTGCTCATCACTCTCCTTATCAAGAGACAAGACAGCCGCTAGGTTACCGGTTTGATCATTAGTCACACTAGTCCCTTCGCTGATGGGGGACTCACCATTCTCGATGGGCATCTTGGAATTCACAATAGGCCCAAATCTAACACACCCAATTTCGTGGCGCAAGGGAGCTCCCTTCCGCTGCAACAAGTCCGCCATTGATACACTATATAAAGTCAACACCAACATTTCCGAAACAGAAACAATAAAATATTCGATGATGGTCATGTAAAGACGTTCTGTCGGCAGTTCCACCCCTCTGATTTCAGTGCGATGAGTCACTGATGTGAGTCGGAAGGACCAAAAGCCCATCGACCCGCGGGACTTTTTGACTTTTTGACTTTTTGACAGTCTTAAAGTTCCATAAGGTAGTCTTACAGCACCACGTGCGCTCCCCGACAGAAGTTGTATTAAACTTCGGTGAAAAAGGACTCCTTTTTCATCGAAGTTCTTCACCCTTTAAGAGAGATAAAAATTGTTTACTTGCCTATGTACAGAAATCGTATCGAGCTGCAAAATGAACAGTTTGTGGAATGATCGTTACTGAGGATTCTGGGGTAAATACAGGGAGCACAATCAATTAGAAGCTAAAATCGATGTCAGAGTCAGCCCAGAATTGCAAACTTAGATCACCGACCAGATAACGTTGATTCCTCCTCATGCAGTTAGTCCGTCTTACATGCCTTCGTTCCTTCGTAATTCTTACCTTAGCCATACGTCTGTGTACCACTGATGCACCGTCAGCGTTCTATGGTCCTTCATATTACCAGAAAATGAATGCACCACACCTTCATATCACCTAAAGGCTGAAAAAGTCAAAGTCGATAAGAGCAGGAGAAATGTTCTACTCATTCCGGCAACCTACACTGTAGTGATAGCTCTCGTCGACAAAGCAGACGGTGCCAGTGCTGGTTGCTGGCGCTGGCAGCGACAGCACGCAGGGTAACCGCTGGCTTCGTTCCGCTGAATATCGACACATTTATTGGAAATTTTTCGTTGACGTGTCGCAGTGTCGCACGAGCTCCAGTCCATTAGGTCTGTCACTCCTAGATCTGAGAGACAATAAATAGTATCTTGTTGAGTCACCACGACAATGCTATCAGTTGTATGTCTTTACTTTTTCCACCGCAGTTGCTATCGGTGGCTCCGGGCAATTACATGCGTGTCATCTAAACTGCTTATGATTCCTCTTTCCTTATGAGGAGTCGTGAACCCCTTTAGGAGTCCATATGTACGTTGCAGCTTGTCTTTGGCAGTATGATTCATCTTACGGTCTTCACAGGGGAAGAAGGGAACACCTCCATTGTTCGATGATTCCCATCTGTGCCTAAATGCTAACATGATGGCTACTGGGGGATCCAATACCTAATAAAGATTGATATGAATACTGAAGATTGAAGTGATACGTATACGTCCTTCGGGACATACTCTTTTCCAAGGCGCGCGCGTGCGTAAGAGGCGACCCAGTACGCCACGTCACCTCACGTCTCGTCTCGCCCTGCGCGATCGCTCTTCCTTAAGCCGGAGTCTTAGCTTTACTGCGCTATCGATCGGTCTGTCCGAAGTTTATAGCGTCGAGCTACTTTTTATCTGTTGCAGTTGTTACTCCGCACACTTGTCTACACCCGAGTTCACAGTCCGTCAATCTATATCATGGCGACACCTGGGAGATCTACTACTAATCCCCTGTTACCTTCTGAGACGGACTTCCATGATTCGTCGGTATATGACTCGGTTATTCAAGCGACGAATAGTGATGATCTCGGTCAGCTTAAACAGCAGTTAACCACATTTCGGCGAAAGCGGACCGCTGCGCTCAATGCGGTCAAGGAGCTCAGAAGCCAAATCGAAGCTAAAGAAGGAGATTCCACCCCCGAGGAGATCAGCAAGCTTTTGACCTTGAGCAATACATGGGAGGACGCCAACTTGGCCGTGAAGGCCCTTGAGAACGTTGAGGAGAACCACGAGCATCTGCTGGTGTTTGGAACGGGGATGGCAATTCCTTCGAGGTTGGTATCGGAGGCGCCCCGTTCGGTTAATCCCCGAGAACCGAGTCCGGAAGGGGAAGCCCTCAATCAGCAGGCTTCCCAAGATGTATTGGTATCTCCCGTCAGCCGGCAGGAAGGTCCTCAGCAAGCGAGCTCGTCGTCGCCCTCTGGCGTTCCTCCGTCGCAGACCATAGCTCCTGGGGGGACAACTGTATCGATACACCCCAGTATTTTCCCTCTTGCTCCGCAGATAGCGAGCGTTGTCCCGGGAGTGCAATATTCTCACCTGGGGTCGACCCCACCGGGTTTAGGACCTACTTTTCCCCGGGGTATAGGGATGGCCCCTCCTCCGCCCCCTTCTTCATCGCCGCCACCACCCCCAAGTACTGAAGGGGCTCGTTTCGCTCCGGCGCGGTCTTCGAGCACTGTTCCGTCTATAACTGTGCAGAGTATTGGCAAGGTCGAGCTGCCAGCTTTAGCGGATAAATTTGATCTACAAAGCCATTTGTCGACATGCGAGTGTATCTTATCCGAAGCTGGGGCAGGAGCGTACCAGAATGGGGTCTTCTTACCTGGTCCGGCGATGAGGTATAACGTCGTGAATAAGCTCCTGACTTCGCTCAAACCTGTCAATGATGTGTACTCTCTAGCGGTGGCCACAGCAAATCAACAGAGATATGAATGGGCTCCCATCAAGACGGTTCTGCTCACGACGTTCGCTAAACGGGAGAACTTGATCATCGCGCTACGACAGTCTATCACTGACCTCAAGTACAGCTCTGTTGACAAGCTATGTACGGATGCTCGGCGAATCTTTGCGATGCATATGTCTATTTTCGGGGCTACTAATCCGTATGAGCTTCGGACCTTCGTCGAAGCTTTAGTGGCGAAGCTGCCGGGCAATCGTCCTTCTTTGGTCATAACCGAAGTACACAATATCCTGGGATTTCACGGATTCAGCGCCGATTGGGCTCTTTCGCTACCCTTCGATGGAGACAACTCGAGCATTCTAGGAGTTATCACGAAGATCGAGCGACAAGAAGCAGCCGTGAAGTTGATGAAGCATACCCAATCTGACAGGGTTCTAGTGGTGGAAGACGCCCCGGCGAAACCGGTGATGATAGTGAACTCCGATACTCGTCCGAAGGAGGCACAGAGTCCTGACACCCTCCGAACGAGTGCCGTCAAGTCATGGTGTGAGAAGCACTCACCGGTCACCCTGATCAAAGTATACAGCCTATGGGGGGAACAGCTGAAAGAAAAAGTGCCGGAGATGGACGATAGTTTTGCGTTGAAGGCAAAAGGTCGGAAGTTCCCGATCTTCCGTATCGTAGCTCTGAAGGTCGATAACGCTGGCGAGCGAGATCGTGTGCTACAACGTCTGAAGAGTAGTAACATAAGAGCTGAAGCTTTCGCCCCTTTTCAATAAGCCCTAGGCACGGCGGTAAACTGTCTCCCGTGGAGAAGATCCAGCTAGATTGTGATCTCGACTTGCTGCCAGAGAGGCCCTTCGAAGAGACAGCGCCAGAGGCGTTTTTTCTACGATGTCGGTTAACGAGCTCGGGGGATGAACATTATCGAAACGCCAGGTTACTGATTGATACTGGGGCCGGCTTGGACTTCATACTTTTGACCCCGCGTTGGCGTTCGTCGCTACTACCTGCCTTCGAACCTTCATCGGTGAGAGTGCGGTTTGCTGATTTATCAGTCCGTACATTGACCCACCAGGTCAAGCTGTGTCTTCAAGTGAAGAAGTCCTCTGGGTGGACTGACTCCTTCTGTCGTAAATTCCATGTTATCGAGCTGAAGGCTACCCCGAAGAAGTGTGGGGATTCTCTCGTCCTTATCGGGGGACGAAGATTCATGAGAGAGCAGAATGTTGTGGTGCTCGCTAAGGAGGGTCGCGTGCTCCTGGACAACCAGTTGGTCTACCCAATCGATAACTTCGACGCTCCTGTTAACTTCGACGCTCCTGTCGACGACTTGAATCATGACGTTTGCACCATCGTCCTAGCTCGCACTGAAGCGGGGCTGGGGGTTGATCAAACGTGTAAAGACCCTGCAGAGCTACTACCCCTTCCGGATCCGAATGTGAGCTCATATGTATCGCCCGAGTTCAAGGAAGCGCCGCCACTGGGTCGCAAATTGATGGACACCTTGGCAGTGGCATCATGGCAGCCGGTGAGGGCCTGCCCTGGTTGGTTTGCCCGTTTGAGACCTATCGACGAGGAAGAGCCTAAAGATATTCCTGAGCAAACTCACATTTTTGAACTGAAGTGTCCGAGTCTTCTACCGGAAGAGAGTGTCGCGGTCGTGCCGAATCTTCGTCACTTTGCACGCCGGGCATGCGAGAGACTTAGGCCTGACCAACGATCGAGTTTTGATACGCTCGCGCAGGAATACATATCTCGTCAATGGTGGATCCAGCGGTCGGAAGCGGACTTGAAAATACTTGCGAAGAAGTATCGGCTCTTGGACCCGGCGGTAGTCTTTTTGGTCCCGGGAAAGTTGAACCGGAGTGACAGGCTTGTCGTGGATTTGAGACGAGCGAACAGCCGCATACCTCGTGCTACGAGCTCCTCACTGACGGTAGCTACATGTATCTGTACCACTAGACTGTATGGATCGTCGTTCTGCTGCGTGCTGGATATATCCCGAGCGTTCTATCGGCTCAGACTGTTTGGTATTCTGGCCGTTCTCTTGGTAGGATCCCGTCTATTCACCTCGAATAGATGTACCTTCGGGATATCTTCTGGTCCTGGCAATTTGGGTGGTTCCTTCGGGTGGTTATTAACCTGTTTGAGAGATATCTGTAAAGCTGAAAATCTTATCGCTCTGCTCAGCGAGTTTATGGATGATCTCCAATGTTCTGGCCCCGATGGTTCCTGGTTGGGGTGTATCTTGTTATGGGTACTTACTCGATGTGGATTTCCAGCCGAGAGGAAGAAATTCCAGGCGATGGCAACTCCAGATGCACAAAATGAGGCAAGAAAGGCCCTACGAAAGGTTGGATTACCACAGGATTTTTACCGGTGGCAAGACTCTGTGACTATCCTGGGAACCTCGCAAAGGTACAGTGATGATGGGAAATACCTACAAGTGTCCTGTATGCGGTCAACCCGACTGAAACTGGTGGCCGACCAATCCGAAGCTCTGATTAACGGCCTGACCGGCCAAGGGGATCCATGTATTTTCTCCAAATCGGATATATTCTCTTGGGGTGGAAACTTGTCGTATGACTGTTGTGGTTGCCATCCGATAGACCGAGTCCTGGCGGATGCTCTCCGGAGCGTTATCGCTCGATATTATGCTGAGGTGCCCTGGAACTCCAAGTTCGACCTTCGAGAGTTCCCAGAGCCTTACTGCTCCGCTCTTTTGGAACTAGCCCGCTGGATCAATGAGATCTGTACTAGTTCGGCAGAGTGCTTGCATGAAAGTCCACTGAGGGCTCACAGCGATAAGATTATTCTGGAAGTAGCGTCTGATGCATCTGCTACTGGGGCAGCCTATGCGATCAGTGTACTCCACCAGACAGATCACCAAGGTGATGGGCAGCCAGAAGGCGATGAATACAGGAGGTATCTTATTTCAGCTGCAGCCTGGCGGTTTACAGCCCAACAACGCCATTATCACAGCAATAGGAGAGAGCTTGCAGCCTGCTGCAAGGGAATACAGGCAGTGGCCGATGTCATCAGTCATCTATCAAGTAAAGTCGCAGGTCGGCTGCCCCCGATCGACATACGAGTGGTGTCGGATAATCGTCCGACAGTGGCTTGGCTAACTGGGAATGGGGCTATCTCTAAATCTGCTCTCGAGAGGCGAGCTGTCCTGAGAACTTTGAATGCGTTGAAAGATGAGGTGGACTACTTGCGAAGCATCGGAACAGTATCTATCTCGCATATACAAGGAAGTGATAACTCCGACGTGGACCGTCTAAGCAGACTGTTCGATAGAGAAGTACGGTTGAAAGCCGGTTCTCGGATGACTCTGGCCGACGCCCTCCTGGGAGGCACAGATGAGAAACAGGATCTGTCCAGTTTTCCGGATGTTTTTGGGCCTACAACAGTGCAAGCCCCCGGCTTGTCCTGGATTGTTGAAGAGAATACCATCACTCAAGAATCACTGGATATCTTCTGGTTACTCCCTGAGATACCGCGCTATCGTGACTACTTGGATGGTGATGATGACCTTGTAGCGGCCGCCACTCCTGTTCAAAAACATTCTCATATAATCGAAACCCTCTGTGAGAATGCTTATGATGTCAGTACCGTCCTCTCGGATTTTGAATTCTTGAGGAAGGTTTTCCGAGCGATGAGACCTCATCGTTGGAAGCGAGAACTGTTCAGAGCCTTGGGAGGGGCGGAGAGACAAGTTCGAGAAAACTGGAGCTCTTTCCATCGCGCCCTTCAGAGCGATCTGACTAGGGAAGTTTGGCCAGCAGGACCCTATTGTACCGACGCGGATGGTCTTTTATGCTTCCGGAACGGTCAAGCTGACGGTACCATCGACTTACTACCAGTTGTCCCGAGAAGTCCGGGCTCCTGCGCGGCGTATCGGAAGAAGATAATCAGAGATGCTCATCTAGCTACTGCTCATGGAGGCGTTGGAGCGACCATCGCACATGTCTACAATCAGTACTATTTGCCTGAAATACGAGTCGAAGTGAAGAGATTAGTGAAGTACTGTTATTGCTGCCAGACTTTGCGAGCGCGTAGAATGTGGAGCGAGTTACCTGGTGTTCCACATAAGGCCAGTGCGATGCGATCCGAGCCTTATGCAGAAGTTTTCGTTGATTTCCTGACTCTTGGCGAGCTGAAAGGGTCCGAAGGCCCGATGAAGATCCTCACAGTTTATTGTTTGGGTACTTCTCACTCCACCTGGATTCCTTGCTCAGAGCGCATGTCTGATGTCCTACATGGTCTCGTGAGGGTGCAACAACAAGAAGGAGGCTTACGTGTTATTCGCTGTGACCGAGCGGCATACTTCCGAACACCCCGGTTCGCGGAGGAGGTGAAGCGTCTGCTGGGAGCAACAGTGGCCCTCATGCCTGCCAGGAGCCCGTGGCGCAGTGGTGGCGGAGAACGTACTCATGCTTTAGGCCTACGAATTGCCAGAGTACTTCTCCGTGGATGTGTAGGGTCCGCTCGATCTCGAAAGCGTCAAGAGACAAAAGTGGATCTGGAATATGTCTGCCGGGAGGTTACTCTATTACTGAATACGAGGCCGTTGAGCTTTACGTCTAGCCATGAGCCTGATGGTCAGCTGGTGGCTGTCACTCCTGATCTTTTAGCAAGGGGATATACTCGTCGTCGCGGATGCTTTAGTGGAGCGGCGTTGGGTAACCTATCGAGTGTGAAGAGAGTGAAGGCTGCAAGATCCCATTTCATGGCCCAGATTTACAAAGATATGAGGATCGCAGCAGCTAAGGCTATGGGACATAAAGGCTCCAAGAAGCCGCTACCTGCCCCGAACGTCGGCGATCCAGTCTTGATTTATCATCCTACCAAGAAGATGGCGTCTGGATTTCGTCTTGCGCATGTGATGAACGTCGAGAAGAATGGCCGACAAATGCGAGTCAAACATATTGATGGGAGTGAAGATGTGCATCATCATTACAACGTGGTTCCGATCGAGATTGATCCATCCTGGAGTGCTGGAGATGTTGAGACCGATCACGAGGCGCAGCAGGGGGGGCATGATATGAATACTGAAGATTGAAGTGATACGTATACGTCCTTCGGGACATACTCTTTTCCAAGGCGCGCGCGTGCGTAAGAGGCGACCCAGTACGCCACGTCACCTCACGTCTCGTCTCGCCCTGCGCGATCGCTCTTCCTTAAGCCGGAGTCTTAGCTTTACTGCGCTATCGATCGGTCTGTCCGAAGTTTATAGCGTCGAGCTACTTTTTATCTGTTGCAGTTGTTACTCCGCACACTTGTCTACACCCGAGTTCACAGTCCGTCAATCTATATCAGATTGATGCAAAAGGGAAGACCTACAAGGAGACAGCAGGCGACGATGAGTAGTACTAATGTGAGTCACATTATGTGACGCCTGAGCACCATACAAGGCAACGTGATACGTGTTCGTACATTCCGTTACTATTGATGATATATAGTCACAGAAGGTACGGCCCGCGGATTGAACCACAGACTTCTCGGGACTCATTGCTGGAGACTGCATCTGATTAGAGGGCATCATGCACTGTTCATGTGTGCATCATGCACTGTTCATGTGTGCATAATGCACTGTTCATGTGTGCATCACGCACTGTTCATGTGTGCTACACCGTCAAGACAACCTCGCGTAGCGAGGTTCACCGAACCAGGTTCGATGACCTTTGGGGGAAAATGGTCTAGCTTGGTAGTGGGGGTGTCACCCCGCCCGACGGGGCCCGCCGGGCTCTTAGAGAGCATGTGGGTACTTCTATCTGGTATCCTGGACATCATTTATCTCAACTTACGATGTGCTGAGGGTATCCTTTTGTCAGGAGGGCTCTCTCCTTAAGGAAGAAAAATCGACAACTCGATCGCTCACCCCCTTCAATATCAACGCGCTGAAGTAGTGATCCCTATTGGCTCGACCCAAGCCGCGTGCGATATTGCGTTCGTCCTCATGGTGATGATGATGGTAGTGCTACCCGAGCTACAGTACTACTGTAGCTCGGGTAGCAGACTGCTACTAGCAGTGCTACGGTAGCACTCCAAGACTGGATCATACTACATACTGATCATCGTTCATATTCTCTGTGTATTAGGTTTATGGTCTCCCAGTGATGATAGTGGTAGAGGGGAGATAAGGAAGCTGGTCGTGCTGACAGACCCTTGTGGTCCACAAGTTGTAGAGGTGGCAAGACTGCTCTGTTCTCATGGTCAAATATGATACGGCATGGTGGGGCAACAATATACGCGGTTCGATCATCAACGATACTCATCACGGCCGCTGGGTGTTGGACCAACACTGTTGGTAAAGTCCACAAGAGTTGATGGGGTACATGATAGTCGTAGCAGCTGCGGTGCAGTATGATTCTTGTGGGAGGCTTTTACCGGTTCGTAACATTCGGAGACTGGGCTTAGGCAGTATTACGTGATGCATTGCTGTGGGGGTGTGGGATTGATGATGAATACCGGATTATCTGCTCCTGTAATCCGTGGGTGTTGGATAATGTTTATGAGTCATACATTATGACAACCCGCGCAGGGCACACGTGGCCACGGATGAGACTGACAAGGTGTGTCCCAGGAACTAGGTGACCTAGTCTAGGTCAAGCAGTACACTGTCATCTGCATGCGTCCTAGCTTGACCAGGTTGTTCACAAGTATTCGTGCGGCGCTATTCGACTCCTGGCTTGTCGCGAGTGTCGTTATGGACTTGAGACTGATGCTGTGATGCACGACGTCGTCCCCACGTCGGGAATTTCGCTCTGCTACTTCCACTTGTCCATGACTTCACCGTTTCTACCATTCCCGTTGGTGACCAGCAGCCAAGCGGCTCGTCTATCCCAGAGCACCGTAACGATCCCGTAACTGTCCATTTTGAGCGTGATACTCTGGTGGTTCTCCAAGATCGTACTGCTTGTGATATATTCATTTCCCTGACATTTTTTTCACTGAAGCAGCTTCAGTCGCTGAAGTTCAGTGATCATCAGCGGCTATCAGTAACTGCGTATATGTGGAAACATTAATTCTCTCGGAGCTTGAGACGATCCTGTTGATTAAACAGCGTCGAATGTTTGATGGACTTCTTACTCTTTATCAATCTCAATATTGAGTTGTCAGTTCAAGTGAAATGTCTGGGATTGTCAACCTCAGGTTGAGGAGAAGCAATGGACGTGGCGCGCACGAACACTCGATATATAAGGATGTCGCCACATATCACGGCTACATGTCGTGCCAAGAACTCGAACCACTATAGTATAGTCACTATACTAACCGCTCAATTGTTGCAGATCCAGATACTTACATGTAACTTATATAACGTACATACTCCTTGTAGCCTACATATGTAAGTGTCTACATCTATACACATTAATCGTCAATCACCCTACACAATGTCGGGTGGCGTCGTCGACTCATGTCTATCATACCACGGGTGAATCTGGTAAGACTCTTTCTGCGACATGCACGCGAGAACTCTCAGACTCCTCAGGAAGGGGATATAACTACATAATATCAAATATACTTTACCCAGACTACACTGCATAAGAGGTTCGTCGAATCATTTCTGGCAAACGGAAACGGAAAAGGCTGATGGAGCTGCAGGATCAGGCTACACAAGTGAGGCTCGAAAAACACAATGATCATCGAAAAACCTCAAGAGTACGCAATTCCCGTAGTTAATCTCGAAAATGGACACCCCACTGTTCTATGGTGAGCTGGTAGGCCATGATGGCTAGAGGAGGGTAGGAGTGTTACACTCCGAGTGTACAAGTGCTTTGTTGAATGAGAAGAAGGCGACTTGTTAGGCGCCAGCGACCGCAGCTCGGGTCGAGCTGCTGGACCAGGATTGCCCTGTGGGGATCTTCTATCTCGATGGGCCATCGACGGTGTTCTCTTGCGAGAGTTACCAGCTCCGAGGAGTTTATGCCGCCGGTCAAGATGCAGTCGAAGGTCATGGCTGATGGTACCCTCTTGGGGTACGTTTGCCGTGTCTTCACCCTGTTTCAACGGCCTTCCAATATGCTGGTGCTATTCGAGTTGCTAATCTTGCTAGCTGAGCTCAGAGCAGGGCTTCATTTTGCTGCGTATCTGGTGTATGCGCGAATCTCCACTTTGCCAATCGCGCATAGAACCAGCCGACGTAGAGGCTGCCACTCTCCTGTATTCGCGAGCATCACTCCTCAAGAAGCGCCTGTAATCAAGTCTCCTGTGTTTGGCAGCCTTTTCGACGTACTTGGTGTTTCGCGTGCAGAAATTGATTTGGGTCATGTGCTATGGTTTCAAACCATTGGATTATAGCATATCCGATTGGGTAGAGTGTGGCACATGAAAACGCTACCAATAACTTACAAGTACGTACGGAGTTGGCTACGCCCCATTGCCGTGGTTCAATCTCACAACGCTTTCTAGGTGTTATGGAACCAATAGGTTACGCCTTGCTGAGTGGGACTGTGACAGCAACCTGTTGTGAAGTCACTTCACTGAAGTGCGCTGGCAACTGCGGCATTTTCAAAGCCGTGACCGGTCGGATGCCGAAGTTGCGCCTCTCCCATGGTGTAGGCTACTCCTTCCGGATGGCAGTTCGAGAAAAAAGGCAGCCATACTAGGGTCGTACGAGTGTTGATGTGTTTCACCTTTGGAGTCGGAAATACCGAGGAGGGAGGCTTCCCCGTGCCACGGGGCCCGTGGGATATAGTGAGGACGAAGCAACCGGTAAGACTCAGAAACGGTTCCGCCATTGATTTTGATGAGGCGATTAAACTTCCGCTGGAGCTGTTCCACGCAACCAGTGTGTGTAGAACGCGTTCATCGCCCCCAGTAACAACAAGCCCCTATGGAAGTTCCCCAGGTGAACAAAGTGAAGGGCCCAGTAACAAAAGGATGCAACCATGCAGTGAGGTAGCGACAGTTTCGATGCATTCCCTTCATATTCTCTCAGGCGGCCTGAGTCAGGCCGTAGTGAGTCGGTTCTTATTCCGAAATATAAACTGTCATGAATCATGATGAATCAGTTTTCGTCTGTGTCGAAAGTCCGTGTCATGTCAGCGCCGTCCTCTGCTCAATTCGGGGTTTATTGAAGAATCATCTCAGATTTTTCGCTGTTGTAGATTTACCCGTGAGTCCTGGGATAAGCTTTCTCATCAGAATTATTCAACTAGAGATCCTGCGAACGATCCTATCCAAAATAACGGCAACGGAATCCTGATCCTTGGTAGGACCCGAGGCTTCAGTGATCCGCCTAACATACAGATCCTTTCCTCCTCAGATACGCATGTCGCGTCTCCCCTTGTTCGTACATCTTCCCACCTCCAACTTTTGATCCAGGGATATCGCGTTTCGGCAATGGCTCGCATGCTATGACGCAGGTCGACGGTGGCTCAAATTCTGAGTCTGAGTTGATGCATTCAGGTACGTGAGCGAATGAGTCCGGACCCGGCTGTGAACTCCCTGGACGGGGCCGTTGAGTCCATAGCCAAACGGGATACTGGCTATTTCATGTGGGAGGTCATTAGTGATAACTCATCACTACGAATTACAGCCATTCTCAGAGAAAGCATCACTCATCAGGTTAGTTATCATGCAGGTGAGTATTTTGTATTTTCCTACAACTCGTAGTCTACCATATGACCCCGGCCCGATTCGAACGGACAACCTTCTGATCTGGAGTCAGATGCGCTAACGTTGCGGCACAGGGCCAAGCCGATGTTGTTCGGCATCCTCGAAAGGAAACATATAGGTGAGTATTTTGTATTTCCCTACAACTCGTAGTCTACCATATGACCCCGGCTCAATTCAAACGGACAACCTTCTGATCTGGAGACAGATGCGCTAACGTTGCGGCACAGGGCCAAGCCGATGTTGTTCAGCATCTTTCGAAAGGAAGCATGCAGGTGAGTATTTTGTATTTTCCTACAACTCGTAGTCTACTATATGATCCCGGCCCGATTCAAACGGACACCCTTCTGACTGGAGTCAGATGCGCTACCGTTGCGCCACAGGGCCAAGCCGACGTTGTTCAGCATCATCCAAAGGAAACATACAGGCGAGTATTTTGTATTT